TTATGGTTCGGAAGGCAAAGGGCGGGTGGCGAATGTGCCAGGACTATACCGACCTCAATAAGGCCTGTCCGAAGGATAGCTTCCCGTTGCCGCGCATCGACCAGCTGGTGGACGCCACTGCCGGTCACGAATTGCTCAGCTTCATGGACGCATACTCTGGATACAACCAGATCTTCATGCACCCTGCCGATAGCAAAACACACGGCGTTCATAACGGACAAAGGCCTATATTGCTATAACGTCATGTCGTTCGGCTTGAAGAATGCGGGGGCGACCTATCAGAGACTAGTCAATCGAATCTTCGCCAAGCAGATCGGTAGTACAATGGAGGTCTATGTGGATGACATACTAGTAAAGAGCCGAACGGCAAGGGAACATTTGGCGAACCTATCCCTCATGTTCGGCATCTTGAAGGAATACCGAATGAGACTCAACCCCACGAAGTGCGCCTTCGGAGTATCTTCAGGGAGATTCCTCGGTTTCATGATCAGCCAGAGGGGCATCGAGGCGAACCCCGACAAAATCAAGGCCATAATCGACATGAAGGTGCCGAAAACACAGAAGAACATCCAGAGCCTTACCGGACGAGTGGCAACCCTCACTCACTTCATCTCAAAAGCCACAGACAGGTGTGCACCGTTCTTCAAAGCCTTGAAAGGGGGCAAACATCACATAAAGTGGACCGCCGAATGTGATAAGGCGTTTCAAGACTTGAAGGACTACATGGGCAGAGCTTTGCTGCTGTCAAAACCCCTCCCTGGGGAAATACTCTCTCTATATCTATCAGTATCCAACACTATCGTCAGCTCGGTACTGATACGAATACCAGAGAAGACAGAACTACCCATCTTCTACGTCAGTAAGGCCCTACAGGGGGCAGAGTCTCGGTACCCCCCACTCGAGCAGTTGGCTTTGGCCCTGGTCGTTTCTGCCCGACGGTTGAGGCCTTATTTCCAGGCCCACACCATCATCGTTCTAACCAACCAGCCCCTTCGGCCGGTTTTTCAAAAAACAGAAACATCCGGCAGGCTGGTGAAATGGGCGATCGAGTCGGGAGAGTTCGACGTACAGTTCAAACCCAGACCTGCCGAGAAGGGACAAGCTGTGGCAGACTTCATCGCTGAACTGACACCTTCGGAGGCCTCAGAACCTGAGAAAACCCCTCCACAGGAAGGCCTACCGAACGGCAGCCGCCTCGACCAGTCAACTCCTTTCTGGATCCTAGACGTTGATGGCTCGGCAAACCAACAAGGATGCGGAGCTGGTCTGGTACTCACCGCTCCCGATGGAGCCAAAATTGAATATGCCATCAGGTTTGGCTTCCGAACGTCCAACAACGAAGCCGAATACGAGGCGCTTTTGGCCGGAATAGTGAACCAGGTAACTGCCGACTTCGCAGCAAAGGACGCGTCCATGATGGCGTACCTCACGGCAGCACACCAACTGCTAAACAACTTCCAAGCGTACGAAATTCGGCAGATACCAAGAAACGAGAACAGTCATGCCGACGCCCTCGCTAGATTGGCTTCGGCAATCAATGACAAAATAGGTCGAATGATCCCCGTCAAGATACTGACCCTTCCGAGCACCGCCATTGCCGAGATCTGCGCTATAGAGTACAACACATGGATGTCGCCTATTCATGCTTACCTAACAAACGGCCCCCTCCCTGCAAACAAGGCCAAGGCCAGACAGCTGCGTTACCGATCGACAAGGTACATTTTCATCAACGACATTCTGTACAAACGTGGCTACTCGACCCCCTACATGAAATGTATCACCGAAGAGCAGGGCGAATATGTCCTTCGGGAGATCCACAGTGGTGTCTGCGGCGATCACTCCGGTTATAGATCCCTAGCCCACAAGGCCTTCCGACAGGGGTACTATTGGCCGTCAATGCATCGGGATGCAATAACAATGGTGAAGAAGTGCGACAAATGCCAGAGGTTCGGCAATATCCCGCATCTACCTGCCGAACCCCTCACGCCAATCGTAAGTCCGTGGCCGTTTGCCCAATGGGGACTTGACCTAATCGGACCAATGCCGCAAGGCAAAGGACAGGTCAAATATGCGATCGTTGCCGTTGACTACTTCACGAAATGGGTTGAGGTTGAAGCCCTAGCCACCATAACGGCACCAAGGGTCGAAGAGTTTGTCTGGACCAATATCTGTTGCCGCTTCGGCATCCCCTACGCCATCATCACCGATAACGGCAGGCAGTTCGATTCAGAGCTCTTCAGGCAGTTCTGCACCCGCCTCAAACGGTCAGGTAGAGGCCGTGAACAAAATTATCAAGAAGCTCTTAAAACGGCAGCTCAACAGTGCCAAGGGTGCTTGGCCGGAGAAGCCTCCCGAAGCCCTGTGGGCGATAAAGACATCCTACCGAACCTCCACGGGGGAAAATCCCTTCAGCCTTGCATTCGGATAGGAAGCCGTTGTCCCAGTAGAGATCGGCGAGTCAACTTATCGAACGGAAGGTTTCGGACCGAAGGCGAACGAGGCTGCACTCGCGTTAAGCCTGGATTTGATCGAGGAACGCCGAACGGTAGCCAACCTTCGAAACGAAGCTTACAAACAGCGCGTCTCTCGGTACTACGACTCAAGGGTCAAACCTCGCTCCTTCAGAATCGGGGACTGGGTTATGCGCAAAGTTTGGCTTGCAACCGAAAACCCAACGGAAGGAACCCTCGGACCTATCTGGGAAGGACCCTATGAAGTCATCGGCATCCTTCGATCCGGTACCTACAGGCTCCGAGGCACAGATGGGAAGACCCTCGGTCACCCATGGAATATGGAACATCTCAAGAGTTATTTTAAATAAGCCCCCTAGCCAACGGCCGGGTGGAATTTGTATTTTTGCCTACGGCACTTATATATATAAAATGAGATGATTCAGAGTTGCACATGTTTGAAACATTATAGCCTAACGGCACCCTTTTTCCCCAAAAAAAAAAAAATTGTTTCGGTAGGGCTCATTATTTACGAGCCACAGCAACATTGCCTACGGCAATCAAAAGCTACGCTCTTTATGTCTGCTACCGATTCAGAGATGCCTTGGCCCATTTTTTTTACAATTTTTTGGCAACAAGCATTAGGTATGAGCCAACGGCAGTATCGTAACTTTGGGTTTGTCTACCGAAGGTAGGGACACTTCGCTAATCCAAAGCAAATAAGCTCCTAAGTGGCTAGCGGCCCAATCGGTAATTATCCTACAGTTATTATCCTACGGCAGTAACGAGCATGGATAGAATTCAAACAAAAGATAAGCAAAAACGCACTGATTTGAAGAGAAGAATAACTTGAATTAAAAATGCCCTCAGCATTAAGGTGTTCAGAAATTTGGCCAACGGCAATTAAAAATATATAACGAAATTGCAAAATACAAAAGTAGCTCAGGCCTCGGCAGTCCGATCTCCCTGGTTATCAGCAGTCTCGACCACGGTGTCAACGGTGGCGTCAGGGGCACCCTCGGCATCAGGACCATCGGCATCTTCGGGAGCATCCTCCCCCTCATACTCCTCGATCATCTCTTCTGTAATACCTTCCGGTAGAGGAGGGGGATCGGCAGCAAAATTCAGGTTCATCTTCTGGCCTGGGTTAAACCGTTTGAAACGGTAGATGAGGTCCGCCATCTCAGCAGCCACTTCATTGTCCACCAGAGAAGTGAACTCAGCGGAGGAACGGTAGTTCTTAATCACTTCACCAACGGCAGCCTCGACCTCTACCGCTTTTGTCCGCTCGGAGGCCTCCAGTGTCGTCTGCATCGACGCCTTGGCTCCCTCGGCATCCCTAGCCGCTTGCTCTGCGCCATCCAGAGCCTCGCGCATCTCGGCAAGCTTCGCCTCGTGCGCTTGGATCTGCCGTTCGGCAGCGTGCATATCCTGCACGAGACTGGGGTGGTCCTGGAGGGCTTTCGCTGCGTCGGCAACCTTGGAACGGCCGTCTTCGTACAGTCTCTTAGCGCGCTCGACAGCTGTGATGGCCCTCTTCATGCACAGCCACATATCCATTGACGCCTGAAAAGTGGAGCCACAGGTTAGCACCGAGCAACAAATAACATCAATAAGAAAAAAGAGGGCAAAATGGACAACGGAAGGGAAAGCTTTCCGTGGCCTGGAGACGGAAGGCTCGCCCAGCCTCTTCCCGAAGAGCCTTCTTCGGCAACTCGTCTATCTCAGACAAGTCCATCTGCGAACCCACGATCATATGGTTCGCAAACTGGACCGTCTTCGATGGGCAGGCAAGTGTGACCGCCTCGTTAGGCCCCACATCGTCCTCAGCAGCGAAGATGGCCCTTGGCAGATCAGTAAGCCGCACTCTTATGGGAGTTGAAGCAGCATCCAAGTCCACCGTCATCGGCCGCTTCCCAGAACCCTTAGAGGTGGCCGCCTCGGCACCCTGCCTCGGACTGATTACCGGTTCTTCCACCGGCGCCCTTCTGCTCGCGGGCTCGGCATGGCGCCGTTCGGCAAGGGGTTGCTCCTCGGGGACTGCCTCCTGTTTGTGCCTGATAAATCTCGGCCATGAGCTGGCCAAAGGAGCCCTTTCTCTCGGCCCTGGCACTTGTTTGCAGAGGCTGAAACGCAGCGTTTCGCCAGGGTACTTCGCTTTCGTAAAAATAAAAGAGGAAATGCCAAGGCATAATCATCTCGGCCTCAAGCATAGGCCGAGGCCGAGGTCGAACAAATTTGCGGCCAAGGCATTAAAGGCAAATCATTACGTGACAGCAGGGTCCCAGGCTGCATTTAATGAAGTAGTGCCTGTTTAATGCAGCAAAACCCATTGGCCACAAAGTAGCATTTAATGCATGAGGGAAGGTGGGAAGTGACTGAAGTCAGGATTTGGTGATGAAGATCAGAGTGATTAGACGTGGACATTCTCACAAG